TACAAAATAATAATATTTAATTTTATAAAAAAAGTATATTTTATATAAAATCTTTTCAGAAGATAAAACAAAATAAAAAATGAAAATAAAATGGGTTTGCACTATTTTTTAATATTTTAAGTAAAAAGTGTTTATATATTTATTTATATACAAACATCAATATAAACAAATAAATGCCTAAAAAATATAAAATGGTGTAAAAATGTTTTTTATACTTTTAAAATTATGAGGAAAAATAAATAAGTCAGGAATAAAAAACAAAAGTCAATAAATCATAAAATAAGCCAAATGGGCCTAGGGGGTGTCAAAGTAAAAATAGTGTGTGAACAGAAATGACAAATCAAGCCCAGCCCAGAAAGTTGTTGTCTTCAACCTTCAGACAAACAAATTCAAAAAACACGCGCCCTTCTTCTCAAATCCTTAACTCCTGATTCTTTGATCTTTTGCCAAATCTTCCAACATGAAACCTGTAGAGCTTGAAGCCACTATTCTAGACATATAAAGAAGTCAATCTAACTCTCAGAAATGAGAGAGAATTTCTTCTCCCCCAATTCCTGACCTAGTTTTTATTCAATATTCAAACTTAAAATTCTCTAAGCATACATAATATAAATGAAATATAATTACATGGGCATGTTCAGGGCTATGAATGTGACATGTTTTCTTCACAAACCTAAAGCTAACAATGCTTGGATAGAGAGATTCGAGTTCATGAACTTACCTGTTCAGTTGAAGTGGTATCTGGTGATTGAGGTACTTTCAGTGCAAGGTGATGATTGGTACAGCCTTCCTTGATGTCCAGGGATACTATTGCCAAGCTTTACTTTGTCTTGAAACCTTTTGAATCGTGCTATGGAACTTCACCTGCAAAACAAGAAAATGAAAATGGTGATGTTGCCTAGGAGTGTTACAGGTCGTGGTTTGAGGTTTGGAATAGCTTCAAGGGATATTATGGGATGTGTTTGATGTGTTTTTAGCAAGAATGCATGGAAGGTTTGAGCTATGGAACTCAAACTGCAGCAAATGCTCTGTTTGGCAGTTTGAGGGTGATTCTGGGAATGGGAGGTATGAGGGATGCTAGGCTCGTGTATTAGCTAAGATGGATGTCTTGAATGTGTTTGATAACTTTTCTTAAGGCTTGGTTTGCTGAGATGAGAGTTGTTGTACAAAATGCTATGTTTCTTACACTTTAAGCAACAAATGTCCAAGTTGGTTTTTAGACAGGTAGAGGCCCCCCTAATGTGCTGCAAACCTTGGCATTGATCAGTGTAATTAGTTCCTAAACTTGTGCCAAGGGGGTTTGAACTGTACTTCTTGGATTTGCATTTTGACATAAAGTTCACCTTTTGCAAAAATGGTTAATGTGCTTTATCTACTTTGGGACTAAACCATTATGCAATGCTTGAACACATAGAACATGGTCTTGGCACAAAGAGTTTGCATTAAATTTATGAGTGTAAAAGAGATTTAGGGCCTGTAATCAAGAAGTGCATGCTGATTTGAAAATTGCCTAAGTGTATGAACATGGAAATTGGCCATAACAAAAGTGAGTTTTTCCCATATTGCAAAATTCGATTCTCTCAAACCATGAAGTTGTTTGATGAGTTCTTTGACATTTTGGAAAGCTTGGAATGTGTACTACAATCCATATTTGAAGTTCAAATTGAAATTCCAAGTGGAAGTATGTGAAAAATGGTCTTGAAGTTAGGCAAAAATCCTGCCTAAAATAGGTCAAATTTTCTCTAAGTTAAGAATGGTTTGGTACCCTTATTCCAAAAATTGTAACTTGAGATACAAGCTTCCTTTGGGAAAACTTTGTGAATAAAAGTTGTAGATTATGAAATAGGATACAACTTTCATGTTTTGAATTTTACTTGAATCCAAATGAATCTTGGTGAGAAAGTGGGGCAAAGTTAGAAAAAAATTAGGGTTTTTCATAACTTAGAAAAATTCTAAGTTATGAAAAATCTTCATTTCAAACCCTAATTTGCAATTCTTGATTTCTTGATGAACAAGTTTCATGATTTGGCATGTTTTGATGAAAAATGAATCTTGACACTTGATTTTGACCAAAAAGTCAAAAGTCTGACTTTTCAGTATACAGTCAAAATTGATCAATTGACTGGGAAATTCAACTGTCAATCTTGTGCATTTGGGATCTTTTGAACTTGTTGAAAATTTCAAGACAATTCCATGGGGTCCTTGAGTCCATATGTGAGCTTGGTTTGCCATTGGCTATGTCAAACAGTCAAAAATTGCCTTTGTGCAGTCAAAACCCTAAAAATGACCATTTTGCCCTGTTGGTGATCTGATCAAATTTCTTGTGGAATTGTGATCCAAACTTGATCAAATGGTCCATGTGAGTTCATAATGTTGATGTGGGTCAATTTTCATGAGATTTGACTGTCAATTGGCCACAGTTGACTTTTTCCCCAATACAGCTGATTTCTAGGTCAACTGTCCAATTGACTGGGCAAAATTTGGAATCAAGACTTGAATCTTGGTGTGGATAAACTTGGGAGTCCAAAATTAAGCATGAAATTCATCTTAGGCTTTTTAGGTCAAAATATCTTTGTGCAAACACAAACCCTAATTTGGGTCAACAGTGCAAGGAGAAGTCTTGAGCAGATGAAACCCTAACTGGATCTTGAGCTTCAAGGGCTTTGTGATGAGAAATCATTGAGAAATGGGAGGGAAAATTTTGGGGTACAACACATCACCTTATAGCAAAAGGTTCCCCAGGGCTTGATAAATGTTGTTTGTTCCATATCTTCTAGTGTCATCTTAATCTGATTATAGCTCGAAAAACCATCCATAAAGGATAATACTTTAGAATGGGTTATATTATCGACCAACACATCAATATGGGAAAGAGGAAAATCATCCTTAGGGTTTTCTCTATTCAAGTCCATATAATCCACACACATCCTGACCTTACCATCTTTCTTAGGCACGGGCATAATGTTTGCGATCCACAGAGGATAATTGATGACTTTCAAGAAATTTGCATCCAATTGTTTTTGAACTTCTTTTTTAATCTTCTTGGACATCTCTGGATGAGTTCTTAGGAGATTTTGCTTGACAGGAGAGCAACCTTCCTTGAGCAGTAGACGATGTACCATGATATTTGTATCCAACCCTGGCATATCTTCATAAGACCAAGCGAAAATATCAGAATATTCTCGAAGCAGCTCAATTAATCTGACCTTCATACTTTCTTCGAGATCTGCCCCTATATTGACCTCTCTTCTTACCTCTTATGTGCCAATATTCATCACCTCAATTGAATCTTGATTTGGCTGGATAGCCTTCTTTTCTTGTTTTAACAACCTTGTTAATTCCTCGGGAAGGTCGCAATCCTCATAAGCCTCTTCTTCAGCTTGGTAGATTGGATTATCAAAGTCATGGTGAGTGATAGCAGAGTCGTTATCAATATAATCTGTGGTGGAAGTGCATCTGCATAAATGATATATTTGGTGTTTTAGTGAAAGTGTGTGAAAAGGGAAACATTGCCATTTAAAGAAAAGTAAAAAATAGAAAGAAAGGGAAAAAATATTTGAATGCAAAAACGTCCTTTATTTCATAATAGATTTTTAAAATAAACATGGTGGCCCTACACAGATGCTTCACTACGCCTTGGGCAGAGTGCAGGAATTATGGCATGATAATAAAAGAAAATAGGAAAATTACTCCTCAGCGATTGAAACTTTGACATCATCCATAGAAGTCCAATTGTCAAGCTCTTGACCAGGAATACTCAGACGAATCCAATCTCCAATGTTATATCCATCATCCCCATCGTCACCAACCGCATTGGTGCATCCTTCTTGAGCATCACTAGGACAGGAAAACTTCACAGGAGTATATAGACCAGATGCTCTAGGAGCTGCACTCTGCTAGCCTGGACTGAAACCAAGACCGGATTTTTTGAATTTAGGGATAACATCCAGCACCTGACCCTAACCTTCAGGGTTACCATTCTCCACCATGGCTCTAGCATTCTTGAGAGAAGACATAGCAGTTTCCGGCTTTCTTTTTTGTATTGGAGGAGGAATATTGACCGTATGAACTGTCTCATAGGCTTGGAAAGGGGTTTCATGTATCTCTCCTTCAACTTCAACATAGCGGAATGACATCAAATGACTCACAATATATTCCTCTTCACCGCATACAGTTATCACTTTTCCATCGGTAGGATATTTGTGTTTCTGATGAAGAGTAGAAGTGACTGTCCCTACTTTATGAATCCACGGCTGCCCTAACAAACAACAATATGTTGGATGTATATCCATAACAAAAAATGTAGTGGTGAAAGTGCAAGGACCGACCTTAATTGGTAATTCCACCTCCCCAAATACTGATCTTCGGGACCCATCAAATGCTTTCACCATCAAGTCACTAGGACGCAGCTCAAGACCAGAATAATCAATTTTCATCAATGCTGATTAGGCAACACATTCAAGGATGATCTCGTATCCACCAATACCTGGGATAAAGTAGTTCCTCTGTACTCCATAGAAATATGTAATGCTTTGTTATGGTCTCGTCCTTCAGGAGGAAGGTCAAAATCTGTAAAGCCCAAACCATTTCCAGCAGATATGTTAGCACAAACATTCTCAAACTGATTAACTGTTATCTCATGTGGCACGAATGCATTCTTCAATAACTTCATCAAAGCATTTATGTGGGGCTCTGAATAAATCAATAACGATAAGATAGACATCTTAGAAGGGGTATGACTCAAGTGATCAATTATGTTATAATCACTCTTCCTGATTATTCGCATCAATTCTTCAACATCATCGGGGACTGAAGAAGCTTTTGG